GTGCAAACTCAAGGACTCAGCAGCATCATGTTTCAGTTGGCTTTCTGTGCAGCCATCAGGGAAAGCACAAATGTTTAAGGGATTTATGTCAACTTGAGATGCTTCTTAAGTAAGATGTCTTCAGAACATTGTGTTCAAAGATCTTGGATACGCCTAAGGAGTGAAAGTCTGTTGATGTATTTGTTTAGCATGATATTTGTATCAAAAGTCTATGGCATGAGTCTGAGCTAGGTGAAATTCTGGTATTTGAAGATGTTTATGGAAAAACATCTTAGAACATATGTACCAGACTAACAGCACTGTCTGCTCCATGACATTGAAAAAAACAAAATGAGATGTCCTGCAGTTAGAGTACTGCAGAGTATAACTCCAGTTTTGCATCTGTTGAAGCAAATATTTAAAATATCTTTTTCAGGAGTGGAGCATCAGATATTCTAAGTTCTTGATTCTTCCTTGTCTAGAAGCCTACTTCATGCTTGGCCCAATATTTTGTTAGGCATTAATGTGGTTTTTTGTTGGAATCTCTTGGTATCTGGCAAGATAAATTATCTAAAATGAAGAGGATTGGTTAACATATTAAGACACGTAAAAATATGACATATAAAGCTGCTTAGATTCCACAAGCAGAACTTCTATCAGCAGTAGGGTTTTCTTCATTTGAGTTTTTTGGGTTGTTTGTTTGGTTTGTTGTTCTATTTCTGGCTTTTTTTTTTTTGGTTGGTTGGGGGGGCCTTTTTTTGTTTTCAAATGAGATTAGTAGAGCATACTAAGAGTCTGTGCTTCAGCCAACAATGCCAATGACAAATCTAGGCTATGTACAAGGAATACATCAATGTGTACTACAATGTAAGAACACTACCCTGAGGAATTCATTGCTTCAACAAATGAGACATTATTTTATGATGCACCAGGATTGCCTGGTGGCATGCAAGAATATAAATCAGAATTCATTATCTGAATTTTTAGTCTCACATGAAAACATTTAGTGCTTTTCTTAGTATTAGACTGAACAGACAAACTGAGCTGCCATAGACTTTTTCCAGCTTTGAACCTTATACTTCTTGAAGTACTCCTAGAAAATTACCACGTTTATAATGGAGGAAGGAGACAAGAGTGACTGGATCATAGAAAACAATACAACATATCTGATTACATGAGCCTTCTGTGCAACTAAGCTTTCACTGTATTTTATAGGAGTTTTGCATCTGAAGAGCTCTGTGTGAATGGTGTGCAAGTCTTGTGTTTGTAAGATGATTCCACAATCTGTCATCCCAAGACAATAAGCAATCTTGCACAGTTTCTGGAATACTTGGCACTAGTGAGTGCCCCTTCCCCTCTCCCCATCCCTTCCTCCAAAAAAGAAAGTAAGTAAATAATTGTGAACAATGTCCTGTTTAAAAACATGACCTTGTTGTTGGGCTATATTATTATTTTGTTGAAGTAGGCAACATTTTTCCCCTCCCCTTTTTGGTGAAAGTTTTCTATAGGAAAAAATCACAACAAATTAAGCTTAGCACAGAATTATTATTAATCTAGAAAACATCTGGTTCTCTGCTATATTACACTTTTGATCTTATCTCACTTCCAAGTATTTTTATGTATTGCTGTGGCAAAGCATAAAGATTACAGCTGTGTGAATTCCTTTTGGTAAATTGCTGATTTGAGGAAAATGTAAGGTTCTTTTTGCTCAGTTCACATGTAGTTTTTTTTACACATAGAACATATTTAATCGAAATTTCCGTAGGACTGAAGCTGGGTCTTCACATGCCCTTTCTAGAGAATAGCAGACAGTGAACATTAAAGCACAGAAATACAGTGAACAATCATACAATCATTAAAATAACAAACTTTTATTAGCATAAATGAGATTGTTTCATTTATGTGAATGTTCATCTTATCACTATACAAAGATAGATAACAATTTTGTAAGGATTTGAGAAGTTTCACTGTATTCTTTTCTTTCATGACAGAAGCAGTCACCAGCTTGGCTTTTCTTTCTCGCTTTTCTCTGTGAATTACCTCATTGCTGCTCAATAAAATCACGGAGCCACTCAGCTGTATCATCACTAGTTGGTCTAGCAAAGAATACAAAAAAAGAGAAAAGATTCAATGTCCAGACCCTGCAACTGTATTGACTCTCTAATGAAATCCTATTTTGCTAAGACTGGTTCTTTCTGATTGAAGCATCTGAAGCTTTGGAGCTCTTTTTTTTTTAACTCTTAAAAAGCACTATTGCATTTACTGATTGTATTTATTTTAATAACTTTCTTATTTGTGATCAAATATTTTTCTGCAAAACACACATGAATTATTGAACAATATGCACACATACACTCAGAGTTTAGCACTAAAATTTCTGTATGATTCATTGTTTTACTGCTACTAGATTTTGTTGTTTTACTGTTTTTGGTTGTTTTTTTTTTTAAATTAAAAGCCTTTAGTGATGGATGGGGTTGATCTGGAAGATGGCATATAAACTTGCTTACCATCTCAAAAATTCCCATCCAAAGTTGTGGATATTAAAAAATAGGCAGCTTCTCAAAGCCCAGTTGCTTTAGTGAGTAAGTGTTCAGTATCTGTACTGTAAATCTGAGGTATCCAGAAGAAACTGAAATCATTCCATGTCGATGCAGAGGTGCAGTAATGAAGTTAAATCAAATGCTGCAGTTATTATTTGGATTTGGTACATGGAGTTACACTTCCCTGTTTACTTGTATTATTAACAGCTTTTTGTAGTTTTCCATGGACAAATTCCATCCAGTGTTGAATTCAATCAACTAAAATTCCTTGAGAAAAATAACAGTTGTATATGATGTAGGTTTTTGGTATTTTAAATCTTCATTTTGTATGCACATTACTGCTGTTATTCTAACAGCATCTGACAATCAATACTGCATACTATTCTGCCTGCTTGTCTGTTGGCTACTACTACAGGCAGCTCTTGAATCCACATTTCTTGCACAAAGTTTAACTTAATTTTCTTTTGAGAGAAAAAGGCCGGTAGTTGACTAAAAATGACAAAAAGGGCACGGGTTTGAAATCCAAATTCAAATATAAAAGGTATCATGGAGGGCAGCCTATATCATTGCTTTGTCAAAACACTTGGCAGCAGAGAACCAAAAGTTAATCAAGCAGAGAACAGTTGAAAACCTTATTTAAAGAAATCACATCTGCTTAGTGGGAGAAAAACCTGAGGCATATGCTTCAATTTCTTTTAAGCTGTAATTCATCCAGTGGTTTACATCTGTTAAAAAGCATGGAACTTTTCACACCTCTTTAAAGCACAATTAAACTGTATTTATTTTAATACATAATGTGTTCCAAATATGTAATACCTTTTCTGAAATGACTCATAGGTGGTTGATTTCATAGCTTTCTATCATATAACCTTCCAGGTCCTTTGAATTAGTTTGTGTATTAACCATACATGAAATTTAAAGGAAAAGGTGTTGAAATGGTGTAAAATGATGCCAGAAACTTCATTACACTTGTCATTTTATATCAAGGCAACAAATTGGCTGAGGGGGTGGTGGTGGGTAGGAAAGTTTTCTTAAGCAGTAAAATAAAACATTATGGAGAAGAAAATGTAGTTCAAGAACTTTGGTCACAAATTTTTCATGTGAGTTTAGCCTAGCTGTTATTGACTATTGCTTATTAAAATCCACGTCTCCCCAAAAGAGTGTTGTTAACAGGACATAATCCTGATAATCTGACCACATTGCCCAAAGTTTAAAGCACCGTGGTAAGAGTAGGGTCTATGAACTGTAGAGGACAACCAGAAGTATTTGGGTAGAGATTTGGGGGGTTGTATCTCATTTATTTGTGTATGAAAAGCAGCTTGGTTCTGCACTGTGGGTTTATAATGACTACTTGTGTATTTTAAATTCTAATTAATTCAATTAATTAGCCTCCTTTGATTTTAAAGTTTTCTGTCACTTTTCTCTATCTGATATTGGGATTTAAAATCTTTTTCTACTTCCTGCTTCATTCAGATCCTTTAACATTAGGTTTCTTTTGTAAATGTAAACATATGAAAATTCATGTGTATAGAATATCTGAAAGACATTTTAATCAGATGATGGCATACTGTGTACCATAAACCACATACATCACTCAGCACTTGGAATGGTTACATGGTCAGTATATGATCATTTAATAGAAGCTAGCCAGTGGTTTGCTTGTTTACATTTCAGCTAGAGTCTAATCAAGTTATAAACAACTGAAAATTTGGCTTTATAGATACATGAGGCATAGAGAACTTGTGTTAGCAAAAAATATTTTGTGTTAGCAAAAAATATAGAGATTAATCTTGAAAGAATGGCCTGACTGTAAACCAAGAGAATTCATTTACAGTCCAGCTGAGCTGCACTATTCCAGTGTCATCTTGGGAAAAAAAATTCTCTGAGACCCTCTTCTATCTTCCTTCAAAATGTGAATGATTTTACTGTCATTGAAAATTCAGTTTTTATTGTGAGTTGCCCATCTTACAGGAATATGGTAGATTTAAGTATGCATATTATGGTCCCTTTCAATGTGATATATATGTCCATTTCATATTTTGTGGGTTTAGCAGAACGCTTATTTTAGCAATATTGTTTCACTGCTAGGTGAATAGATGATGAAAAAAACCACAGAGAAATAGCATACATTAAAAAAATTATTTTTGTCTTCATTATGTCTAGTGTCAAATAGAGCTATTGGACAGCATCTCTTGATGACAAGTTTTTTTACAATGAACCAGATAAATAAAGATTTTTAAAATATGCAGCATAGTTTGATGTGGAAATGATACTGAATATTTTTTAAGGAACCCCTTATAAGATGGTGATAATATATAAAAAATAAAAATGCTCTCAAATGTCTTTTCCTATTAGAATGCAAGTAACTATTTTCTTCCTGATTTTTGAGCAGTTCCATTTTTTAGTGATTCTGCAGGTAAGGCTTCTTTGTTGCTGCACAATTTAATCATGTGTTCATCCCATTGTTCTGTCTTGTTGCAGAGGATCTAGATGATCTCAGAATGGAAGGAGTAACAAGTGTGGTGTCTTCTGGGAGCAAATTCAATCAAACTCGAAGTGCTCATACGGCTGAGCCTCAAGCAAAGGTCACATTGAATATATGTGCAAGATGTGCCAGGTAAAATTGAAACAAAACCAGATCATGCTAACAAATACATTTTTTTTCTCCAGGTATTTGGCTGTGTTTTGTGCTTAAGGACCAGGTGATGACCTCTCCTGTGCTAACAAAAAATAATTACTTAGCTACTGGCTACCCTATGACCTCTGGCATTTGAATTGTGCAACTTATGTTTATGCTTGATATGTCGCATCGACAGTGAATCAAAGAACATAGTTAGTCTTAGGTCTTGCTTCACAGCTTGAAACTATTTTGAGCCCTTCCATCTCTGAATTTCATTAGTTATTTGAGCTTCTGTGGTTTTTCAGGGGGTGAATCAGGGAATTTAAGGGTTCAAATCCAATTTGAAAAGCACCTGTATAAATGGAGATTTAGTTGCACAGGTGCAGTTCAGGATTTCAAATAGTTGCTTCTGAGCACTTTATAATCTCATCCTGTCTCACCTCTGAGAAATAATTTAGTCAGGTTCAACCCCTTTTGGTTTTGACAGCTGGCAAAAATTTTTGCATTTACAGTATGAAGACCAAATAAACAGGTTAGTATTCCTGTAGCTTAGTCAACTCGAGAATGCAACACTAACAGAAACCCCTTAAATTTCCTGGATGAATTCTTCTATGTAGACAAAAGCTCATTTGGAGAAAGGATTTAAGCCTGTTTAAATGACAAAACTAGCCTTCTCACCCTTCTGTTAATGGTTCAGATTAGCAAGAACAATATAGAGGCATGCCAATTTTATCTGCCTGCCTTTGCCAGTGGCTGCTCTATTGTGTAGTTTGAGAGCGGATTAGCCGTTTGTAAATAAAAAGCAACCTGTGGTGAAATTAAGTCAAAAGTTTGGCCATATGCCACCTTACTTTTTCCTACTTTTTTCCCCATTTTGCTCTTAAATTACTACTTTTCTAAAGCTCTTATATAGACATGCAAGACATGCTTCAAGACATTTTCTGATGCTCTGGAAGCACAACTACAGACAGAACTGAATCACTCGTGCAATAGCATCTCTAGCAGGGTTGCGGAGCCTCAGGGAACTTCACAGTACTGTCACAGCAGCGGTGACTGGATGGCCTTGTAATTCTAGAGTTTTGCTTGTCAGCAGTGTGGTCTTATGCTTTAAGAAAAGAACAAACATGCAAGTCATGGAATTCTTCCCAATTCAAGCAAAAAAATTGCTTATGTTGTAAAATGTTTCTAAACAACTACCTAACATGAAAGCATGGCACATTTTTTCACCCAGCATCCATAGTCCATGGATTAAGTAGAGAAGTAAGGAATATAGAAACCTTAAGTTCTCTAAATTCTGAAGTTCTGAACTTACATAACATCTTTTATGGATTACTATGAAGGTTAATTAAATTTTGAATTCCCTTAAGTAGCTGCTAACAGCAGGTGCCAAGATACTATATATTCTCTCAGTCCTGCACACCAGGGAACAAAGGGTTCAGATCTTGAGCCAAACCTAGCAACCTTGGCTATTGGTATTGTTCTTTAACTGCATGTAATAAACGATTCTGCCTGTTAAAATAAAATGAGCTGGGAGAGAAAGATCTCACAAAATCCCTTTTGTCACTTCACTTATCAGAGAATGCAAACCAGTGCTTTATTTTGCCTGTGCACCTTCAATGATTTCCCTACCATGTTTAAGGAAATCGGTGAGGAACTGGGTGATACCTTCATGACTGTGATTCTTTTTACTCCTGTTGCAGTTTAGCAGTTTCTTTAAACTTTGGAGGAATTTAAAAAATACACCATCTCTTTAGGAGAAAGGGAAGTCAAAAGAGACAAACTAGTATTTCTGTTGTGTTCAGTAGTGAGGAAGCTAGCATTTTTTTCTTCAAGGTGATAAAGTCTACCCATTCTTTTGGAGCATTCCTTCCTTCTTACTGAGGACACCTTTCCTCTCATCAAGACAGTTATTAGTGCAATTATTTCTCTCTTCAGTACCTTCACAGGGATTTCGTCTGGCACCTTCTTGCAGCAGATGAAGTAGGGGGTACAGATAGTTGCATGAAACAAGTGGCTTCAAAGACATGCAGACAGTTTTTTCGTGTTTGATTTCAAGAGCAATTAGGTTGTCTGTTAGTCAATGAAATAGCCATTGAAAACACTGTGCTATAAAATTAGATCATCTCACTGAATCAGTTTCTCAGTGTTGGCCTTTGTTTCTGTTGTTATGACAAAGGCTAATAGTTAATGTAAGGTCAAAATATAGAACCTATTAGACTATTAATTTGTTTTAGAAATTATATTTTTATGCTTTCACATACCATTTTCTAACTAGTCTCATGTGCTGTACAGTGTATATATAAATACTTTGTGATTTGATTGTAGACATGTTTGAATACAATTTAAAAAGAAGTCAATAAAAGCTGTTATGCATGCTTTTGGTTACAATTAAACAGGTGTATTTCCTCTTATTGTTACTCATTTTTCAGTTGTACAAGGTGATTTGAAATTATTTGAGCTATTAATGGCAGTGGTGTTGTATAGATAATAGGCCTTGTCAAGTCAGATTACCAGATTAGGTTTGCTGAAGGTATTTTGGCTGTTGTTAGGAGAAATGCGACTTTTACTTGAAATTTAATTGGCAAAGTTCCAAATATTAGGAAACATGTCTTGGCTCATACCAAAAGTTGAATTTTACTCATGCATTTGCATAATTGATTTCTTTCAACCTTGATGTATTTTTTTAAATGCTTTGCTCTCATTACTCACCACTCAATTTAGTTTCTATGATACCTCCTTCAGAAGTTTTCCTGCTTTCTTGGATATATTGGAGCTTTTCTTAGAGATGTTTATTTAAACAATTGAAGGAGTTTTTCAGTACTAGCTTTAAGTAATTTGGCTTAATATTTTGTATCTCACTTGGAAAGGATGACTATTCTTATTGAAGTTCCACCCTATTTCTTCCTTTAAAGAGTGTGTTAGTTTTGGATGCTCTTGCTTCTAGGATGACATTTTCTTGCCACAGATCATTAGCTCTCCCTGATTATTTGAGAATTAGAGTGAACAGGTCTATGGCTATGTGTAGGTTACCTTAGCCTGAGAATAGTGCTGGTTTCATTTTGTATGCCCTGTAAAACCACCTGCTGTAGGGTGCAGCTATATATCTTATATTTCTGTGGGATCTGGAGCTTCCCACAATGAGACCAATGACTTGTGAGAAGAATGGACTAAACCAATGGTTTTCCTCCATGCTGAGATACTTGTGATCAGACTTCATTTAGTCTTTAAAGGAGCCAGTATAGCTCCTTCCCTTTGTACCACAAAAAAGGAATGCCAAATGGAAGTGACTATAGTTAGAGATAAAAACCAATTTTGTTGCAAGACAAACTAAATCCAGTTTATATTGTGGAGGAAACCTGCAATGATGTTTAGACACTACATTTGGGAAAATATTCTCACTTGCCCTAAGTCTCTTAGACAAAAGTACAAACTTAGTTGTGAATCATAAGAAATGAGACTGAGAATTGACATTATTTGAACTAGAATAAAACTCCCAAACTTGTAACTTTTTTTAGAAACTGACATTTAACTATTAATCATAATAATTTCACCAATCATCTTCAAATAATAAACAGGTAGATAGTTATCACAGACAGGGTCTGTAATTTTCAAAAAAGGTAAAGTTCTCCTCCCAGACATTCAGGAAATAAAAATGGAGAATTCTTTCAAGATATCATACCAAATTGGTTTTTACAGCTTATGATTTAACAAACTAAAAAAATTCCCCCCAAAACAACCAAGATCCCAACAAACCTTTGTAAAAAAGTCCCCAGAGGGTGATGAGAAATTAAAGGAAGGGTTAATTCTACTGGAGTATAAATTGGTTTGTAGTTGGGCGTATAACTGTAAGAAACAGAGAGCTTACTGTTTTCTGTATAAATGTTTCACACACGATGAGCGAAATGCAGATGGATAACAACTTTAAGAGGTTTTTCAAATGGGGAAGCAGCTACCAGAACAATGTTATTCCCATAGCTGCTCTTGGACTACAGGGCAAGTTAAGTAGCATATTAAGTCATCTAAATAAAGGGGTGACATCATTCACAAGGTGGAACAAAACAAGGTTTATAGATACAGAAAAAAGGCTACAGAAAACTCCCATCCTGTATTTGGGAGGTTTGCTTTTTTCTATTTAGCCTGAAAAATTGGGAAGGACACTCCTACTAAAATGGGTCTGGATTTTGATTATTTGAGTAAAATGCTTATAATAATTCTTTCTTTGTCTAAGGGCACAGTCGCTCTGAGTGGCTTATAAAATAGACTGACTCATTCTGTAACATGTTTTTGTGAATCCTTTCTCACATACAGGAAAAACAAATGCATTTCAGGTTTGGCCAGTGAATTATAAGACATTTCCACATATTAAGAAAACTTGTATGGGTTAAATAGATATTTAAATGACAATTTGTAAAAGCCAAACACCACTTCCATAATTCTGATATGCATTGTGACTTGCACATTGAGCGTTTTGCAAGAATTTAATCAACCATAAGGTAAAAGATAATATTAATGTACTATTGAATGAATTACAGGGGGTTTTCTTTTTTCTTTTTTCTTTTTTTTTAAGGACCACCCATTAGCCTTGTATGCCCACTGCCATGCTCAAAAGTTAAATCTTGTTCTTGTGGAGTCTTGCCAATGCATTCCTGAAAGTAAGAAGCTTTTTGTTTTTAATAGCGCAAGGGCTGCATTCATTCTTTTTAACATCAATAGAATACAAAAAAAGGGGTTGCATGTGATTAAAAAAGAAATGGGATTATAGAAAACATACTGTGCCACAAGCTTGAAGGCTTCTGAACAAGAATGTTAGGAAGGAACACTAGGCGCATACAAATGTAGGGTTGAGATGCAATGTTTTAGTTAATATTTTAAGATTAGCTAAAGCAAAAGGACAGTATAGTGAGGCCTTTTGGCATACTAGAGGAATCAAAAAATATAGATATAAACAAACAAAGTACATCTACATTAAAAAAATGAAATGGAGCTTTTCTTACTCT